AGGTCCCCACAAGAGACACGGGTGCAAATGATTTCTGCTCCTGCCCAGGTCAGCGCCGGTGTGCACGAGCGACTTGCATCCCCACCGGTCTGCTCGAATCCCGCAACACAGCTGGAACAGGATCAAGATCAACACAGGAGGAACGACATGAGGCTACTCGCGAGGCAAGCCTGACTGACAACACGCCTCTCAACGAGCCGGCAGGTGCACTTACGCAAACGTTGCGATAACGGGATAGCGTCGCTCTGAATTGCTGTACGTGAGCACGGCGCTACTGACTGCGGGCAAAGCGGGGCAGACTAGACCCACGCAGGTGCCCTCTGCGGAGCCCCCACAGCCAGTGCGGGTGTAGCCACTCGGGCAGCCAGGGCATGGGTAGCAAGACGTAGCGTATGTCTGCGATTGTGGTGGGGCAGAAGCAGAGGAGGACAAGTGGAGAAAGCACATACGCACAAAAGAGGCATTCAAGGTGTGAGAAGGCGGATTCTTGATCTATGCGGGGCTTGGAAAGAGGCGGATGCAGTCCGACCTGCTGGCTTTGGTAGAATCCGCTCGCGCAGGCAACGCAGGTTCCTGCGCTTCCACCACCGCAACCGTCACGATAATAGCCCGGACTGCAGGAAGCGCAGGATGGGCAGGTGCGTTCTTGGTGTGCAGTTTGGCTCTGATAGGTGCCTGAGTTGCACACTTGACAAATGCCCGGGCCAGTGGCACCAGCACAATTGGCAAGATACTGGCCTTTGCCACACGTTCTGCAGTTTGTGCAGCTGGCCAGGCGGTGCGAGGAAGAGGCTTGATAGGTGTTGGCTGGGCAGGAGGAGCAGGCACCAGCAGATGGACCAGCACAACCCGATTGATACTGGCCAGTGCCGCAGACCTTGCCCGTGGCGGCGCAAGAAGAGCAAGACGTCAGGATGTGACTGTTTGTAGTTTGAAAAGTTCCACTGCCACATGCGGCACACGAGCCACCACTTCTTGTGGTGGCTCCAGACTTGAAGGTGCCGGCCGGACAGGTGGGCCACGGCGTGCATGAGGTAGTGCGGTGGGCAGAGGTGGCAATGTAGGTACCGTAATTGCAAGTGGTGCACGAGCCGGCCGAGAAGATGCTACCCGAAAAATAAGAGCCTGCTCCGCATGTGTTTTGAGCCAAACAGCTGGTGCTGCGGTGGGCGTCGGAAGACTGATATGTGCCGCCTCCACATGCCTACAGAGACCAGATGATGTAAGCGCGCAAAGGTGAAGGCTGTCCCCTGTGCTAGTATTGTTCACTCTTTCTAAGCAACACGAACCGTGCATGCAAGTCCTGAGTTGGCGTTGCACGTGTAGAATTGACCGGCATTGCAAGTAGAGCACCGTGTGCAGGCCGTCTTGTATACACTGTTTTGAGACTGATAGTAGTTGGTTGCACATGCCGTGCAACTTCCAGCGGAAGTGCCTGCACAACCAGTGGTGTAGCGACCCGTGTTGCACTTGGTGCCGCTACCGGAGCATGACAGGCATGATGTGGCGCCCGTGGACGGTTGAAAGGTACCCTGGAATAAAACCAATCGTCAACCCCGGTAAGCAAGGTGTTGACATTAACAGGTAGGTAGAAAATCAAACTCCCAACACGTTCTTGAAGCTAAAAATCACACTCTCGAGCATTGGAAGGGAATGTTTTCGTTCCATGACTACCCACCGAGGCGCAGGTTGGACACGGGCTCGTGCGCGACGTGCTACCACTGGATGTGCCTGCTGCACAGTCTTTGCAAGAGCGTGACAAGTGGCTTGTCTGATCTTGATATTTTCCAGCTGTGCAATCTGTTCAGAAGATGAGAGATCTGGTGCATTGAGGCGTGATGATGAAATGCAAAGGACATGCGTAATCTCACGAGCGCCTACCTCGACACCCACTGTTGGCAATGTTATGACTGTTACCCCCCTGAAAGTAGTGTCCAGCGCGGCAATTGCAGGAGTTGCATCGCGTCTTGCCCAAGTTCTATTACATGGTGACCAGTCGGTGATGAGGGCAGTCGTTTCTCTTCCACGTGCTTTGAAAGCCGACGGATTGGACACATAAAACATACACAGCCTCCCGTGCAGGTGGCGCAGTTGTTGGAGCATGAGTCATCGCAGCCACTGTCACAACTGCCACAGGCGCGCGGGGCTTCAAAGTTAGATGCGATCATCAAGGCCCTAGCCACTTTTAAGAGGTCCGAATACCCACCCGCCATCGCAGCCAAAAAAAAGGTATTTACAGCTATCGTCACACTCATCGTCACAACCTCCGCTGCAGCCCTAAGTTTGGTGAGAGCCAGAGGACGCTAATGAAACGACATGTCGGTTTTGTTTTTGTTTTTGTTTTTTTTGGTTTGTTTGTTTGGTTGGTTTGCAAGGGCTTGATGGCAAGAATCTTACGTAGCTGCCGCAGTTCGAGTTACAACGGTTGCTGTGGTAGGAGATAATATAGGATAGCATGAGG